AATACGAGACGATCGATGTGATGTACAATGAACTTAGCAATTAACTTAACAATACGATAAGATCGATGCAACGTACCTGACGACGGCACCACAGAGTACCCATCGTAGGGTAGTCGACCTCTGGTCGCTCCTCGTACAGTGACTCCTCGTACGCGTGCTGGTCCACCTCAGGGCGGCCGATCGCAATCCTCTCAGCTGCCCAGATAGAAAGAAAGAGAGGGCACCCACCAAAGGTCGCGCTGGGATCCGTCTTCGTGCAAGACTCACAAAGTGCACGGTACAGAGCCGCCAACAACGCGGAACCCCAGCTCCACTGAGGCACCTCGCCTACCGCGGCGTCGGCGATGCTCCTGGCGTCGTGCACGAGTCCCTTGTCGACCGCGTGCCCGTGACGGCCACAGAACATCACCCAGCCAAAAAGCCAGAGCAAGTACGCCTCCAAACATCGGCTGTAGGAGTACTCGTCGGCCTCCGCCTGTAGCTGCTCAACCTGCAAGCAGTCGATAAAATGTTAGGCACCTTAACTGCGGACTAAAGATGTAATACGATTGTCATTTCGGTAAAAAACACTCACGGTGAACTGAAGTAGCCACCTCTTCGTAGGTCCGGTGTTGCGGTGGTGTGCCAACGGCTGGAGCGGGAGGTGCGGTGCGCGCTGTACTAGTGCGAAACGTGCCGTCAGTTCGTCCTGCCAGTCTACAGCCGTGGTCACTGGCCCAACAGCGTCTCCCGCGAGCGGTAGCCCCAACAAGCACGATACGTCCTGTAGGGTAGGGGCTACCTCACCTCACGGCAAGTGAAAAGTGTGCGTCTCTGGCCTCCATCGGTCGACCAAAGCTGCTAGGAGGGACCTGTCCACAGTCCATCGTCTGGCCGGGTCCGCATGGCCGGCGGCAGCCTCCACCAGCCGACACATCGGTAGGAGGCCGGCCTCACGCAGCCTGCAATAAGAAATTAATATGTCATTACAAAAAATATTACAGCGCAACTAATTTATAGTAATATACTGTTCGTACCTCTCGACGAAGGAGTCGTGAACCGTGAGTAGCTCACCGCACGTCCGTGCCCGGAACGTCCCAAGCTGAGCCCCCTGCACCGCAGTAAGGTGAGACCGGTGTCGGAGATCTATCGCCGGGTCCAACAGCTGAGGTGTATCCTGACGTGCCATCTCTGAAAAATATAGTGTTTCGTATTAGAACAATTCAAAAAGTAGTAATGTAAAACAAAAGATGACTCGCAAGTTAATGAAATAGTAAAAAAATCATGAGAATAATTACGTACAACAAGAGTACAGCCTATTTAAATAAAGCAAACGTTACTAATGGTACATAACGATGACGTGCAATTTAACATATATGTAGAGTTCGATAATATAACATAACATAACATAATATTACGTGTCGAAGTCCGACATACATCAGCATACGTAAAGACACTAGGTGCCTTAGTCTGACGTTATATCACGAGACCTAAAGACATGACAAGCCGAAGTCTGAAATTACACGACGAAACATAAACACATCGATAAGTTCGAAACAGATTACAAGCAAACCCACATGCCAACATAGAACATAAGAACTACACCACGTAGCCAGACGTGGCACGACGACGCCTAGGACGTGGTCGAGTGGAGGTAGTGCCTTCACCCGTAGGGCGAGCTCCATCTGCTGCTGATCCTGATAGTCATGCCTCCGCCGCACTTGGTTTCTCCTTGTCTTTAGGACAATGCTTGTAGGTGTGCCCACGTTCATCGCATTTGCTGCAACGCTTCACCCTGCCAGCCTCCGACTCGTCCATATTGTTGCAGATGCGACGAGTCCTCCTCCTTCCAGCCTTGCCTCGGAGCTTCGATGGGTCAGGAATATTGAGTACTTCATCGTTAGTCTCTGTGAACTCCCCAGCTATGCCGAACCGGTAAATCTCGCCGCTCCATGTATGATATATTGCTTGCTTACTGAAGTACTGCGACACATATACTGCATCTGGTATGCCACACTCCGCTGCGGCAGCAATGACATGGGTGCATGGCCTGTGGAGCAGCTTCGGCTTTGAACAAGAGCAATGACATGTGCCGTCGGTTTTGAGAACACACTCCTGCTTCACTCTCTTGCGGTAGATACCCCTGCCTGCCTTATCTTGACATAGTATCTCGAACCTATGTTGTTGGGTACCTTGCACTAGAGCTCGATGTTTCATGGCCTTTTTATGCAACTCCTCTAGCTTTTTCTGCATGAAAGTTCCAAACAAAATGCTGTTGTTCGGCATAGAGGGAAGAATTGCCTGGAACCGATCCCTAAAATACCTGTATGTCCCATGTAAAATGAACTCCACTATGCCAACTAGTGGCAGTCCACGGACACCGCGCATCACCCAGTTGTAAACTTCTGCCAAATTTGTTGTCATTATTCCATATCTAGCACCACCGGTGTCATACGCCTTGGCCCATTTCTCTTTTGGTTCATGCAGAATCCACTGAGAAAATTTCCGAATCTCCAATCCAGTTCTTCTAACCAAAGTTGGACTATCCGTTGGAAGAGGTCCAAGAGCTTGAGGAGGGTCATCAACGGCAGTCGATGGAGCCGCTGCACGCTGATCACTGCATTTGGCTGTCAACTCATCTAATCTCTTCCAAAGCTCATTGAATTTTTTCTCCTGGTTCTGATTGCACAGCCTCCTGAACATGTTCACGAGCTCCTTGTTCTTGAATTGCTTGAAGAAATTAGCTCCCATATGACGCATGCACCACCTACTCTGTACATCGTCCCAAACACCAGGGTATCCTCGTTCCATGCTCCCAAACTGCAACTCTTCTATCGTTCGCAGAATGCCAGCGTGCCTATCATGTATCAGGCACACATTTGGCCTCATACTAACAACTTTTGTTTTAACCAATTTCAGGAACCAGTACCAGCTGTCGGTATTCTCACTCTCAACAAAAGCAAATGCCAAGGGAAATACCTGATTGTTCCCATTTACCCCTATTGCTGTCAGTATCTGGCCCCGATACTTTCCTGTCAAGAATGTCCCATCAATGCAGATAACTGGACGACAGTTCACGAATGCCATCTTGCATGCATGTAGAGCTAAGAACGCCCTTTGCAGCACACTCTTGCCAGGATGTTCAATTGATGGGAATTTCTTCACTTCGTAAGAGCTCCCAGGGTTTCTTTCCTCGATAACACCAAGCAGGCGTGGCAAATTGTCATACGAGACTTCGTATGTTCCAAATCTCATCTCTATTATTTTCTGTTTGGCCCTCCAGGCCTTGGCATAGCTAATAGTATACTTGTATGTCTCCTCGATGTGTCGGATTATTGACCTTGGTTCGTATGTGAGATTATCGATGACATGCGCATACATCTCAGATGCGACAAATGCACATGTAATGTTCCTGTGGTATTTCTGAACACCAGGTAGAAAACATGTATGCTTGGTAACGACTGACACTGTCCAATAATCCTTCCATTTCCCCTTATACGCGTGCACTCTCCAGGGACAACCATCTTTTTCCTTAACACACCGAACTTCATATTGCGACCGGTTGGACTTGGCAGCCCAAAACTCTCTATGAAGTGACACTGCAAAATGCTTTACCGCCTCCTTCATATCTTCTGTTCTACTATAAATCGCTCCCTGAATAACCTCATTTTCTTTGTATTCCCATCTCACACTATCCTCTTCAGAGACGATCAGCCCAGAAAAATCCTGACTAGCCCATTCTGCTGGATTAATATCCGTCTCCTCATCTGACGAATCACCTTCCTCTACACGCCCGTTGTCAGAATCCTCCCTCTCCATTTCATCCACAATGGCTGCGACAGTCTCCCCCTCGTCGGCCACTCCACCTGGTTGAATGCCCACTGGAGCTACTACGCCCCCGTCCACTCCTGCGTTGACCTCCTCCACAGAAGTCTCATTTACTTCAGCGCTTGGTCCCTCGCTATCATCCATGTTCATCTGCACACCTGGATCCTTCGGGTGCACAAACGGAACCAAAGCTAGAGGCCACCCACGTTGCATTGCATTTTCCACATACCATCTCCACACTTGGGAGTTTTGAACTGGCATTAGTTCCCAATTGCCCGACTTACTATAACATTGATTGTTATGTCACTTGTCTGTGGATCAACTCTCAAACCCCTCATTAACCATCCTTTTATAGAAGGTACACTCCTCTCAGCCGGTCTCTCAATTCCCCTTTCTGATACAATAAAATCTGACAGATCTACCCCAGTTGGCCCGTAACGGACGTTTCCTGGTCCATGGTAAACTTGAAATATTGGTTTGTTCGACATATCTGTCAACGAATTAACTAGATCATATTACTCTTTCATGCAATAAACATCTACAACGTAATATCTTCTTGTGTAAGCCAATGCAACGGTAAAATATTGATTCCAAACTAGCAGATCTACGTTGTTACCGATATCTACAATACGCACTTCTAAATTAGTACAACTAAAACCATAAAAATATAATGCATTTATTCAAATAAATTTTTTAAAAATACACACTATTTAACTCAATAGTCACATATAGGATCTACGAATATTACCTGAAATCGGCGTCTGAATCCGGCAGGGCTTCGCCCCTTCTTCTCTTCTCCTCCCCTCTCTTCTTTTTTTTTCACTGGATTTGAGAGGTGAGGAATGAGGGCTGGGGGCTGGGTGGCAGGCCTTTTATAGGCAGCGAGGCCTGCCGCCCGGCCAGAGGGCGGCAAGGGGCCGCCTGCAAAATGGCCGGCCCCCTGCCGCTCTTTTGCATTCGGACCCCTTGCCGCCCCACCAGAGAGCGGCAAGGGTTTTCATGCAAAAAACCCACCCTCCGTCAACGCCCGTTCCTCCCCCGTTTGTCACGTCAGCTTGCCGCCCACCATTGGGGCGGCAGGGTCTATTTTTGCAATTTTTCTCGCCGATAGATTATTTCTGTAAATATTAAAAAAAATCTAAAAAGGAAAAAAATTCCGCATTTGTACGGATCCTCTCCCGGCCCAAATGGCCCAAACAAATCCGATCCAGCCAGCAGCCCGAGGCCCATGTTGGAGGCCCGGTCGATCTCCTACAGGCGATCTGAAGAACCATCTCCTCACCATCCTCGCCGGCCAAACTGCGGCCTCCAACACGCGCCGGCGGGCGGAGGCTCGCGGCAGATGCGCCCGGCAGGTCAGGCCGCCGCCGTAGCCCGTAGATAGGGTGCGCGCAGGACGGAGCTGTTCGTGGAGGCCGTGGGGTATGCGCTCTTGAGGTAAATCAAAGCTTCTTGGTTGATTCTCCTGTCTTTGTTTAGGGATTGGGACGTGGCTGCAAAAACTTTGGTTGAGATTTCTGGCATTTCTCGATGCGGATTAGCGGCCCACTCGTTGTAAATCACACATGAAAAATATTCGAAATTGTTTAGGGATTGGGGCGTGGCAGCAAAAACTTTGGTAGCCACTAATTAATACAAGAACATTTTGCATTCACGTATGATTGTAAGACGATGCATTTACTAACAGATTTCAGTTTACTTCAGTCCTCCCCGCAAAAAAATAAAAAATAAAAAATAAAAAAGAGAGAGAGTTTAATTCTCAGTGTTGTAAACTCATAGTAGAAGGAGCATCATTTGATTAGCACACTTTGTTTTGTGTGGTAAATTAACATCTTGCATCTTATATATTGTGGATCAGGCCATATAACTTATTTCTTTTTTGCAATATGTATGACTTGAAAATGCTTGTTTTCTTTTTGCATAATTGATGCTAGCTAATTTGGAGAATTTGATCTCTCAATATGGATATGTTTACAGCTATATTTAGCTGATATTATGTTGATGTACATTTTGGCTTTCTGCTAACAAGTTGTGTACTATTTCCAGTCCAAAGAGAGATCTTTTTTTTTTTTTTTTTTTGGGGCAAAGAGAGATCTCTTTAACAAGCTAAGTTTTGTATAACTGTGTGAGTGGAGCTAAAATGATAATATAAAGCTTTGATTGGGATGTGAAAATCCATGGGTGGACTCAGGTGCATGGGGTCTATCAAGAATTTAGATAATTATTGTTAGCAAACATGTTTTAAGTGTTCCTCTGCTTTGTCCAGTACCTTTGTGTATTGTCACATTGCTATTAGCTTTAGGAGCAAGATAAGGGCTAAAGATCAAATAGGTTCCAGCAATGCCAAATATTTCACCATGTTACAAACACCAATATTGGTTAAAGTTTCTAAGTATTTTGGTTTGTTCCATTTGGTTTTTGGCAGCTTCAGTATGGTTTTTGTGAGCTAACTTTTTATTGAAAATTTTGCTTTGCATTGCCCAGATGTCTAATCTATCAGAGCCCTCAAAAGAAGCTGTGTCAGCTGACGATTCAAGTGCTGTCCAGAAAACTGGAGCATGGAGTAACACGTTGAACATTCTTCTGCAACAAACTTCAGTCTATGGTGTGGCTGCTGGTTATTGCCTGTCAGCATCTCTGCTCTCCATTATCAACAAATGGGCAGTCATGAAATTTCCTTACCCTGGAGCATTGACAGCTTTACAGTACTTCACTAGTGTTGTTGGAGTTCTCTTATGTGGACAACTAAAGCTTATTGAGCATGATGGCCTTAATTTGAGGACCATGTGGAAGTTCTTGCCTGCTGCTGTGATGTTCTACATCTCCATCTTCACAAACAGTGAACTTCTACTCCATGCCAATGTGGACACTTTCATCGTGTTTCGCTCTGCTGTGCCAATTTTTGTGGCCATTGGAGAGACCTTTTATCTTCACCAACCATGGCCATCACTCAAGACATGGCTTTCGCTTTCAACTATACTTGGTGGAAGTGTGATCTATGTTTTCACAGACAACCAGTTCACTGTGACTGCTTACACTTGGGCAGTGGCATATCTTGCAAGCATGTCCATTGACTTTGTCTACATCAAGCACGTTGTCATGACCATTGGCCTGAACACATGGGGCCTTGTGCTTTACAACAATCTGGAAGCTTTCATGCTCTTCCCTCTTGAGATGCTTCTAACGGGGGAGCTTAATCAGATGAAGGGCGACAATGCTAAAGTGACAAACTGGCTTTCATCTGATGTCATTCTTCCTGTTGCTCTGTCGTGCTTGTTCGGGCTATCTATATCCTTCTTCGGGTTCTCCTGCAGACGGGCTATCTCGGCAACTGGATTTACCGTGCTCGGTATAGTGAACAAGCTCCTGACTGTTGTGATTAATCTCCTTATCTGGGACAAGCATGCCTCCTTTGTGGGAACAATTGGGCTCTTGATCTGCATGTCCGGTAGTGTTCTCTACCAGCAGTCCACCACAAAACCAAAGGCCCCCAAGGCTGAGCCAAAAGAGGAGAATGATGAGGAGCAGCAGAAGTTGCTGGAGATGCAGCAAGGGCATGAAAGCAGCTCAACTCAGAAGCAAACATCATCTTAAGCCTGGTAGAAAATTTGGCATTGATATCTTAAGACAGCTTCCCTGAACCATTTGGGATGCTTGGGAAGGATCATTTGGCCAAAGGATATTCATTCGTTATATGAGAACCTTGAAATGCCGTTGGCATGAAAAATCGCAGAGAAAACTTAATGTCACTTTGCAATTCTTTGTTTAGTAGTATACCGTATTTATTTGTTAGACCTGTGGTAGGGTATCAATTATCAAAGAATCCCGAAACATAGTCGAACTGGATTCTTCGTATACAATGTGCTGTTTCATTGATAATACAGGGTGGTTACCCATTTCTATACAGGACGCGCCCGGCAGGGCAGGCCGCAGGCGATAGCGTCGGCGTGCAGGAAACGAGGGTCACGTACCCTGAGTCTCGGACTCCGTGAGGCTGTGGGCTATATATGCTCTTGAGGTAAAACCAAAGCTGCTTGGTTGATTATCCAGTCTTGTTTAGGGATTGGGATGTCGCTGCGAAAAAAATGGTAAGATTTATGGTGTTTCTGGATGCGGTATTGCAGTCTCGGTTGCAGATTAGCGGCCCGCTCGTGGTAAATTGCAGATAGTAGTAGTATTTATTTGAGAATAATACAAGAAGTCAAGAACAATTTGCATTCACGTATAATTGCGACAAGATTCATGTACTTAGTATCAGATTTCAGTACACTTCAGTCCCTTCCAATTTTCTACTGTTTGGAGCAGACTGTATCTAACTGAATTTCACTACCAGATAACAGAGCTGGACAATCGAGGTATTTGGGTTTGCCTGCGGTGTTCATCTTGCTGGTGATGGAGCCACTGAATCAGCCTTGCTAGAGTAAGAACCACATAGAGATCACTACCTATTGCTTATCTAGGAACCAGCATGTGCACGGTACGCATTGTTGATTGACTTGGTCATAACTAGTTTAGCCAAAATATTTGTACATGATTATCTGATCATATAGCACACCTACTCCAAAGAACACACCAAATGCAATTGCAAACACTACCTTGTCGATATACTGCTTTGTCAAGATAGTGGAGGTTGGAGCTGCTTCTGCTGAATTGCAGTGGTGTACAAGCATAGGGCTGCATAGCTTTGGGTTTCCAGCAAAACTAGAACTTGGAAATGTGCTGAACTGGTCTCCGCTTGGTACAGGCCCTTTAAGGTCATTGTAGGAAACGTTGAATTCGGAAAGGAAGTGAAGGTTCACCATTGCTGGAGGGATTGCACCTGTCAGATGGTTGTATGACAGGTCTAGAACCATCAGGTTCTTGAGGTTGCTGATCGATTCTGGGATCTCTCCATTTAAGTTGTTGAAGCTCAAGTTGAGTGAAACAAGTTCTTTTAACTCACCAATCTCCATGGGGATCACACCAGTGAAATTGTTGTTACCTAGATTCAACATTTCAGGGAGAGCAGTAGTTGTATGATACTGCAAACACAAACATGCACCCGCATAAAACGAAAATGTAAATGCTCTTTGTTCTGAGTTATCTGCAACCTTGTCTGACTTTAGCATTGGCATCTCCATTAGTGCCGCTGGTATTTCTCCTGTAAGGCTATTATTGGATACATCCACATACTTAAGGAAGTTAAGGCTATTGATCCAGGTCGGTATTGGTCCACTGAGTTGATTGCTGTATAAAGTTAAAACCTGCAAATTTCTGAGTTTTGATAACCAATTAGGTATCTTACCATACAGTGCACAACGCTCTATGGCAAGACCCTGAATATTCTCAAAACCATCAATTGCTTCATCCTGTGGCATAGCTTCATTCTTGAAGTTGCTCCCCATAAACAAGACAGTGAGGTTCCTTAAGCTCTTGAGTATGTGAAGGGTATTAGTTATGTTTGTAAAATTGTTGTAGGAAATAGATAAGAAGGTGATCGACTTAAGATTTCCTATATTTTTTGACAACTGGCCATGAAGCCTATTGGCAGATAGGCGCAACCAAGTCAAATTGCTGCATGAGTAGATGCTCTCTGGAATGGTGCCGTTGAAATTATTCCAGGAAAAATCTAATGCTTTCAGATTGGGCAGGTTGGAGAAGTTAACTTTGGCAAGCTCTCCTGTGAACTTGTTGGTGCTGAGGTTGATGATTACTAGATTTGTGCAGTCGCCCAAGGATGCTGGAAGCTCTCCAGATAAGTTGTTGCTGCTAATGTGAAGCTCCTTTAGTCTCTTTAGCTGACCAATAGAATTTGGGATTTTGCCACTGAATCTGTTCCAGCCAAGATCAACAAAAACAAGATTACTGAGCTTTATGATGAGTGAACCATTAATTGTTCCTTGCAAACCGTTGTTAGCAAAAGAGAGGTACTCCAATGATGTGGCATGGAAGAGATCATCCGGGAGGGCCCCGCTAATGTTGTTGTTACCAGCTTTTAGCATTCTAAGGGCAGTGCAGTTACCTATTCCTGGGGGGATGCTGCCACTGAACTGATTGTAGCCAATGTCAATAACAGCAAAAGATGGCGAGCCGATGCAGAAAGAGGAAGGTATATGCCCAGTAAAACTGTTGTTGCTCACGTTGATTGCAACCAGGTTGCTCATTTTCTCCCATGTGCTGGAGGGAAATGCTCCTGTAAACTGGTTGCTTGAGATATTCAGTACCTGCAGTGGCTGGTTAGATACTGATGAATTCAGCTCTTGCAGGTTGCCGTTGAGGTGGTTGAAGCTGACATCAAGGACAACGATGCTACCAGAGGACATCAGCTCTGCCGGAAGGCCACCGGAGAGCGAGTTGTACGACAAGTTGAGGCGCGACAAGCTGGTGAGCTCTCCCAGCGACGGTGAGATCCTCCCTTCAAGGCCTTTAGAGGCAAGAGAGACCTCAATGACAGCCCCATCTTCACTGCAGGTGATGCCTTCCCACTCGCAGCAGTCCATGCCATTCCGCCATGACATGGCGATGCCATTGTCGTGTGATAGCCCAGCAAGGAACCGGAGGAGAGAGCTCTTCTCCTGCTCGAGGCACGCAATGGTGGAGACGGCCATGGGGAGCAGGAACAGCAGCAGACATAACGAGGAAGCAGCGAGGCCAGAGAAAGGCATCACTACCCTGCTTCTCCACGCAGAATGGGGTGCCATCTTCATGGTCTCTCTTATCACAGGTCTTTGGAGTTGAATTTGGCAGCTAATGTTCGCGAAAATTACATTGTTCGTTGAGCATATATGTACACAACTGAATGCATATATTATGTACTTAACTGAATTATTGTTTCGTTTGAAGTCCGGAGATATTGATTTTGTGTTCGCAGCCATAGGACTTGTGAGCCATACTGCTACCTGTCATACCATTTTTATTTTCTGTGCAGCCTTACTTTGTCAACTAGAGCATGTGATCCTACCTCTGTGTGGTCCAAGTTGAATGTACAGTTTCTTCTTGATAAGTACATTGCAGAGGTTTCATTCTCCCTAGTGTCGGTTGTTCTTTCTAAGTAGTATTTTGTTGTCTCTTGTGGAGAATTTCAACAAAGTTTGTGAAAATGTTTTATGTTGCAAAGACAGGTCTGGTTTCTCTCATTGGTCGATCCCAGATTACCTCAGTAATATGAAGTTGTGCATTAATTTTGCCTTCCAGAACACGTCCGCTTGGGTAGCAATTCATGTTTGCTATGTACATTGCAAAATTTCATCCATTGTGGCAAGATTGAATTGGTGCTAAGATTAACCTGGCATTTTTCATTGATCTTGTTCACTTGTGCAGTTATGAGACTTTTGGTTCTGACTATCATGTTCTTGGTTGTTCAGTTGGTCTGTCACATGAACTGGACGGTCGGAATTTGAATATTGATATACTTCAAGCCTGTAGTCATTTTAGATTTTTTTTTTCCGCAGATTGTTAACGCATTTGGATGAATTTCATGCAAAATGACATGTTTGTTGCACTTCGTGCAAACAGCACGCTCATCAGAAATTCTGAATAAATTAACTATCAAATGCTGGTCAGGATCACTGATCATATTTACTTCCAGATAGGACTAATCATGTACTTCCTCTGTCCCATAGAAAACTCAGTCCTAGATTTAAATCTAGATATAGTTTAGATTCAAACCCAATCCTAAATTTAAATCTGCACAATCACAATGAGTCGTTTGCAATAAATAAGAGTTCAGACAAAGGAACGAATACACACGAATCCAAATTATTTTCAAGGAGGAGAATGATAATGTCAGTCAAATAAGCTGCTGTTAGACATTGAATGCCGCTTGAAATGATGGATGGATTGGCCCCAAACTTTGATAACGGAGGGGAAAAAATTTTCTGACCTTTGACAGGCTAGTGTCGCGAAGCAGCCTCTTGGTCCAGGGGCCCATGGCAACGACGACGCCATTAACAAACCTGAGAATGTAGATCGACCGAGTCAAGATCAGCAGCTCCATAGTTTCTTTTATTCTTATACTTATTCGTACCACCTATTAACAACCTAAAAATAATTTATAAATAAAACTTTTATAAACATGTTTTTAACGTTAAAAAAATGTTGTAAAATAAAATACTATGGAAAAAACTACAAAATCAACTTCAAAATTAAACTTTAAAATTTAAAATTTGGTTTAAAAACTTAAGTATAAGAGAAACAAGGGCCGCAGGTCACTAACTATTTAAGCTAAAATAGTTGGTCAAGACTAAACTGGTCATACATCACTCATATTCCAAAGACCGAAGGCGGCGGTCAGAGATGAATTTATGATATACTTATTTCTCTTATTCGCTCCATCTTTAATCTTATCTTACTATAACTACTAGCAATTTAATGTTCACTAACTTCTAAAACTCAACGTATAAGAGCAAGGCTAATAATACAGCCGACCTGTTAGCTATAAGGTTTTTTATAGCCTTCTCTTAGCCTACCCATATAATAGTTAGCTTATAATCAATATAGGGCTCACTTGTCTCCCTCACAGAATTTCTTGGTTCTTATGTCTAAACCGGCTGTAAGTTTACAGCCCGATTCTCCTCTCTCTCCTCTTTTTTCTCCTTCACCTTAGCATTTAGCCGGCTTATAGCCTACTATTATACTTGCTCTAAGTATTCACATCATCATTCACTAACAATTATTATTTAGAGTATTTTAAATTACATGCAAATGTACCACATCATCACCCACTAGCAATTATTATGTAGAGTATTTTAAATATCATGCAAACAATGCTATATCATTTATAATTTTGTTGTATTTTTAGAACTCAATATGCAAGCAATGTCAAATCATTATTTTCACATCATTTAAATATACACATCTATCATTTTTATAATGTATAACATACATTTATCCACATATTTCGTAGCAGAGCGCGAGGTATCATCTACTCCCTTCATTCCAAAATATAAGGCACAACCATCCTTAACCCAAAGACCAAGAAATAATTATTATCACCTCTTTCTTTGAATCATCCCAACTAATATAACACATGCACCCAATAGAATTAAACATCTTGTGATTATAGGATTTAAAAAATAATAGTTTAGGAGAGAGGAGGTGCTATTAATTGTCATGCATGCATGCACGTCTTATATTATGAAACACCTTTAAAAAGTAGTTGTGCCCTATATTTTGAAACGAATGGAGTAGCTTAATAGCAGTATCTTCTCATCATCTTTGATGATATTATTTAACTTATCAAATATGACATACTATATTATATATTCATGGTAGCTTATAACTCGCTTCAAATAACAAAAATGTCCCCTATTATTAACCTTTTTGTTAGTAAATTGTATTTTGCACCGGATAAATGTGTCGCGTTTCGCTTTACACCAGGTTTTGCATGTAGTTTAGCACATACTTTTTCACTTAGCATCAAGTTATATTGAAATAAGTTTCACTTAACACCAAGATATACCAACAAACCTATTAAAATTTCATGAAAGCTCATAAAGTTCTTAAGGAAACGTTGTGAAACATTGTATAAATTGAAGAAGTTTCAAAAGTTTTACTTATATTTTACAAGATTTTCTTTTAGTTATATGACGCAACCTAGTGCAAAGTTTGCAAAGTTGTAGCGTGAAAGTAGGTGCTAAACATAAAGCTACGTAAAAAGTTTTTTAAAAAATGTAAATTCATGTGTAAAGCGCAATTTATTTTTCTTAACTACGAAGGCTTCTTACACTGAGCCATGGCAGCAGAACTGATTTCTGGTCCAGTAATAGGTGATGATGGGCTGGCTATGCTGGACTAGAAATCATCAATTCAGGACATGAAGCCGAACCGCCATTTCTGGTGTGGTGATGAAGATTCTACTCATCGGGGTTCAAAAATCATGATGCCCATAATATTATTATGCACATGTAGGTGTGCTTTCAACAGGATTTTAGTAAGATCATGAATGTGCTGTTGGTTTTTGTCTCTTAGAGCATATGTTAGGGGACACATTCGCAGGGATGTGAGTGATGTTGCGTGCTTAGTGGTGTGTGCGCGCGTGTGTGATTGCTGTGATATCTAAAAAAACCGCCATTTGTTATGCAAACATGCCACGTGGACTCCATATTAGCTAAAACCATCATTTAAATAGCTAAGGGCTTGATTTACACTAGTTTTAAAAGTTGAGAGTGTTATTAAATACTCCCTCCGTCCCATAATATAAGGGATTTTGAGTTTTTGTTTGCAACGTTTGACCACTCGTCTTATTCAAAATTTTTTGAAATTATTATTTATTTTATTTGTGACTTACTTTATTATCTACTGTACTTTAAACACAACATTTCATTTTTTATATTTGCAAAAAAAAAATTGAATAAGATGAATGGTCAAACGTTGCAAACAAAAACTCAAAATCTCTTATATTATGCAACGGAGGGAGTATATATCTGGTTTTGTGGTTAAGGGACTTAAATGAAACTCGACCTCTGATGAAGGAACCAATGGTGAACTTTTTCCTGAGCTGTGTGCTCCCGGCCCAAACGGCTGGACATGAAGCCCGTATGGCCCAAACAAATTAGCCCAAGTCAGCATCGCACACCAAAAAAAAAAAAAAAAGTCCCACCGCCGGCGGCGGCGGCGGCGGACGAGCCCGGCAGCGGCAGGGCAGGCCACAGGCGATATGGTCGGCGAGGCTCACATCCCGTGACTACATGGAGGCCGTGGGCTATGCTCTTGAGGTAAATCAAAGCTGCCTGGCTGATTGATTCTCCAGTTTCGTTTAGAGATTGGCACCGTGGTTGCAAAATTTTGGTTGAGATTTATGGCATTTCTCGATGCGGTATTGCAGTGTCATTGGTTGCGGATTAGCGGACCGCTCGTGGTAAGTAGCAGATAAATTATTCGAAATATAGTCACAAATTAGTACAAGAACATTTCTGTAAGAATAATACAAGAACAATTTGGATGTATTCATTGTATGTATAATCGTGACATGAATAATTTACCAGCAGATCTCAGTTCAGTCAGCCCCTTCCAATTGTAATTTTTGGAGCAGACTGTATTAACTGAACTTTTAACTACCAGATCACGAGCTGGTCAGTCGGAGGATTCATCTTGCTGGGGTTGGAGCCACTGAATCAAGCCTTGCTTTTTGCCGGGTCGGCCGAAGGAACGGCGACCAAATTTCATTAAGGAATTGGGGGAAGAACAAAAAAAAATTACAGATAGATTAGGCTTACAATCGAAGGAATCAAGCCTTGCTGAAATGAGAACCAATTGAGGTTACTACCCATTTCTTATCTATGAACCAGCACAGCACACATTATTTATTGACTTGATCATAACTGGTTTAGCCAAAATATCTGGGCATTATTAGCTGATCATATAGCACACCTACTCCAAAGAATACACCAAATGCAATTGCAAAGACAACCTGGTCGATATACTGCTTTCTTGAGGTAGGGGAAGTTGGAGCTGCTTCTGCCAAATTGCAATGGTGTACAAGCATAGGGCTACATAGCTTTGGGTTCCCAGCAAAACTAGAACTTGGAAATGTGCTGAACTGGCCTCCAATTGGTACAGGCCCTTCAAGGTCATTGTAGGAAATGTTGAATTCAGAAAGGAAGTGAAGGCTCACCAGTGCTGATGGGATTGCACCTGTAAGATGGTTGTATGACAGGTCTAGAACCATCAGATTTCTGAGGTTGGTCACCAATTGTGGGATTTCCCCGTTTAGGTTGTTGAAGCTCAAGTTGAGTGAAACGAGTGCTTTTAACTCACCAATCTCCATGGGGATGGCACCAGTTAATTTGTTGTTACCTAGATTCAACATTTTAGGGAAAGCGGTAATTGTACGGTACTGAAAACACATACAACCTACATAAACTGGAAACTGAAAGAGTCTTGGGTCTGTGTAATCTGCAATCTTGTCTGATTTTAGCATTGGCATCTCCGTTAGTGCTGCCGGTATTTCTCCTGAAAGGCTATTATTGGATATGTCTACATACTTGAGGAAGTTTAGGCTATTGATCCAGGTTGGTATAGGTCCACTGAGTTGATTGTTGTATAAAACTAAAACCTGCAAATTTCTGAGCTTTGAGAACCAATTAGGTACTTTTCCAGACAGTGCACAGTCGTTTATCCCAAGACCTAGAATATTCTTGAAACCATCAATTTTTTCATCCTGTGGCATAGCTTCATTCTTGAAGTTGCTCCCCATAAACAAGACACTGAGGTTCCTTAAGCTCTTGAGTATGTGAAGGGTATTAGTTATGTTTGTAAAATTGTTGTAGGAAATAGATAAGAATATGATAGACTTCAGATTTCCTATATTCTTTGTCAGCTGGCCATGAAGCCTATTGGCAGATAGGCGCAACGAAGTCAAATTGCTGCATGAGTAGATGCTCTCTGGAATGGTGCCGGTGAAATCATTCCCGGAAAAATCTAATGCTTTCAGATTGGGCAGGTTGGAGAAGTTAACATTGGCAAGCTCTCCTGTGAACTTGTTGCTGCTGAGGTTGATGGTTACTAGATATGTGCACTCGCCCAAGGATGACGGCAGCTCTCCAGATAAGTTGTTGCTGCTCATGTGAAGCTCCTCTAGCCTCTTTAGCTGGCCAATAGAATTTGGGATCTTGCCACTGGATCTATTCCAGCCAAGATCAACAAAAACAAGATTACTGAGCTTTATTATGAGTGCACCATTAATTGTTCCTTGCAAACCATTGTTAGCAAAGGAGAGGTACTCCAATGAAGTGGCACTGAAGAGATCATCTGGCAGGGTCCCAATGATGTTGTTGTGACCAGCCTTTAGCATTCTAAGGGAACAGCATTTACCTATCCCATGGGGGATGTTGCCACTGAATTGGTTGTAAGAAAGATCAAGCATAGCAAAGGATGATGAGCTGATACAAAAAGTGGAAGGTATGTAGCCAGTAAAACTGTTGTTGCTCGCATTGATTGCAAACAGGTTGCTCATTTTCTCCCATGTGGTGGACGGAAATGCTCCCGTAAACAGGTTGCTCGAGATATTCAGTACCTGGAGAGGCCGGTCAGGTGATGACGAATTCAGCTCATGTAGTTCTCCATCTAGGCGGTTGAAGCTGACATCAAGGACGACGATGCTGCTAGTGGATATCAGCTCTGATGGAAGCCCATCGGAGAGCAAGTTGTACGACAGGTTGAGTCGCGACAAGCTGGTAAGCTCGCTCAGGGATGATGAGATGCACCCTTGTAGGCCTCTTGAGGCCAGTAATAGCTCAGTTACTGCACCATCTTCTCCACAGATTATCCCTTCCCAGGTGCAACAATTTGGACTATTCTGCCATGACACGGCGAGGCCACCATCTTGTGATAACCCAGCGAGGAACCGGAGGAGGGAATGTCTCTCCTGCTTGGTGCATGAATCAACAGGAGAGATGAAAGTCAGCAGCAGCAACACAAGAGCAGGATCAAAGAAATTTATGCAAAACCTTCTGGTTTTGTTGCTGCGCCAAGACTGCGGCTTCATGGTTTGTATCTTTTGGAAGCTGTGACAGAATAGTGAGCTTGATATACCTAGGTAGGCTGGTATTGTGTGCAAAACCACAGTTCCTGAGCTATATTGGCAAAGCATCGAAGAGTTATAAGCTGATGGAGTGTTGACCTATGAGTTTAGTTGCTTCTACCTCACTGGCTTGGTACTGTGCTTAGGTTTGGGAATTCCGTCTTTCTGTTTTCTTTTCCCAATCTTATGTATTGGTTCATGAAGCTTGACAGGAGTGCTTCCACTTAAGGCCTTGTTCAGTTTAGAAGGGATTAAATGGGGTTGGAGAGGATTGAGGGAGAATAATTCCACACCACAATAGGTGTGGAATAAATCCCTTCAATCTCTCCCTCATGGGGATCAACTGAACATGCCCTAAATCGGATTTTTCCTCTTACAGTTACCACTTGACTACTATTTGTTAATTTTTTGCCGGGTTACTATTTGTTAAATTCTCCATTCGTTTAGTCCTAAAGCAGAGTCATAGTCCAGGTCTATGCCCTCTAGTGATTTCCTTATTCTTTTTTTTCCTAGATGGAGGTATGGCGTACAGGCGTACAGCCGAGCACCGTGCTTCTAATCTCAGTAATTCCAGCAGCTGCATTTGAGTCCTTTGTCAACAATGGATTTGTGACTGTTGACTGTTCTTGGCTTGCGATAATCTTTTACAGCAATCAAAAGATTGACCTCAGTTGGTTACATTACCTCTTCTTTTTCTTTTTATCTTGAAACGGTTTGGCTACACTACTAAAACAGTAATTGATGCAGGTATAGTACATGATTGTGTGCTGCTGGAATGCTTTTGCTTTTGCATGGCTGAACAAAGTTTGCTCAAGGCTTCAAGTTTCAAGTAAAGGTTGTGTTGTAAGCCTGTACAGCGGTAGTGCTATCTAATAGTAGTCTATTGTTCTCATTTCCTTTTCAGTTCATGACCCTCGTTGTTCTATACAAAATTTCAACAAAGTCTGTGAAATTTCTTTCACAGACAGTTCTTACATTTGCATATTCAGACGGTCTGATATTATCTTAGATCGTGTCAGCTCTCATAATGAGCTTGTATATTATATCTTGGTGCTTAGTTTCGGACTGCTACCTAAAGGTAACTATATATTTTGGGACGGAGCTATTAATTTTCTTTTTCAGCAGCTTGTTGGTACATTTGGATGAATTCTGCGCAAGATGACATGCTTGTTGTACTTTGTGCAATAGCATGCTCATCAGAAATTGAGAATAAGATGCCTTATCAAATGCTGATCAGGATATCACCAGGGTTTACCAAATCGTGCGGTTATCGCTGACGGAGCTCGTGGCTCCTCACCGGGAGACCGCGCAGGCCCCCCTTTGCCAGTTCGGCCGGGGGCTTAGGGTGAGATCCCAAGCTCTCTCTCTCTCTCTGTATGTGGAAAGATCGTCTGTTCGCAAGAGAACTCGAGACACGGCGATGTATACAGGTTCGGGCCGCCGCGAAGCGTAATACCCTACTCCTGTGTTTTTGTGGATTTGTGTATGGATGAGCTACAAAGTGTGAGCCGACTTCTCCCCCGCTCTAGGCTCTAAATCTGGCAAGAATCAACCCCCCCCCCTTCTCTATGGGCAAGGTCCTCCTTTTATACTTCAAGGGGATACCACATGCACCCTTCCCTTTCCAAACTGGACTGTTCTTTTTCTCTTGAACGGGCGGAGATCAGCACGGTTGCTGTCCGAATGACGCTCCGATGGGACAGCCCACACCTACCTCCACTTCCGCCGGGGGCAGGTGCGTCGTGGGAACGTGGTTGCGAGCTGACGACATGAGCAGTGTCAAACCGGTCACAAATCGGTCATTCTTGTCCGCCGCGTGTCAGCTTAGCAGTGTGCATGTTTGCCCTTCTTCGTGTAACACCTTGCCTGTAATGGTTAGGATGAAGCCTGGCATAAATCTAACCAGGGCTAACGTGCCATCTCTAAGAGATAACACGCTAGCTCCGGCTTGAGACGAGTTGCCTAGAGGCTTTCGTCTTGACGGGATGGGGCAAGGCGTGTGTCAGACCGCCAGTCGCCACCTAACCCTTGATCTGACCGGTCTGTGACTGGTCACAGACCGGATAAAAGAGCGTGCTGCACTGCGTTGCACGCAGCGTAACACGCTTGACCAGACTGCAATAAATGCTGTTAGGTGAGCACAGCTGTGCTCACTTATCCCATATATATGGCGCAGACTTCTTTAAGGGGTCGGGGTGCCTCGGCCCTCGGGGCCGGGGCAAGCGCAACCCGACCCCCCCTCGGGGGAAATCACGAGGAGGGCGGACACCTCACCCTCGGGCCCAATCGTCCCCGAAGGTGCCAGGCCACGTGGGCGATTGCGTCTGCCTCAAGCCTCTGGTCATGATACTCCCGGTCCCATATCACCGACAGTAGCCCCCGGCGTTACGCCAGAGCAATTTTCCCTTCCCAAGGGAAGCGGTCAGGTGTGACGCCACCATTAAAGCCTGGTGACAGGTGGGACCGGTCTCCGTAGTTGGGCAAAATGCCCAACGGTCTCAATCCATGCACATTGGTATTGATAACTTTGGTTATCCATAATGGGCGGTCTATTCAAGACTGCCACACCACTTGAGCAGCGCGCGAATCTGGGCGAGCAGATTTGTCTCGCTCGGAGATACGGTAACGCCGCTTCGGTCGGCGAGCGTAATTAACGCGCGCACGATACGATCCGTTTCGATTGCCACAACCGCATATCCACTTCACGCGCCGTAAGCGGGCGAATGGGATTAGTGGAAGCGTGGGCACGGGAAACGAGGGAGCGAGATAGCGAGATACGAGGGAGCGAAGTAGTGGGCGCGAGAAACGAGGAGCCAGGCCCAGCGATAGCAAGGGTATAAAAGCATCGAGAAAAGGATTTGCTCCCTTCCTTTCGCCATTGTTCCTCTTGCCTTCGCCGCCTGAGCTCTAACTCTTTCTCTGCTACGCCCTACTTTCGCCACACACGCTCGTTCCCAATCATCTCTTCCTCCACCGCCATGGCACGGGGCTCTGCTCTGCTCGACGGCAGTGTACTGCCGCCTTCCCGCATCGTGAATGAGAGGCACGCCGGACTGCCGCGCCGCTTCATGCCGGAGTCCGCTACCGGTCGGGAGATAGTGATGTTGGGCGAGGGGCGCCCGGCACCAGACTACCCGGGGCGGTCCATCTTCTTCCTCCCCTTCGCAATGGCTGGGCTGGTCCCGCCATTTTCTCATTTCTTCATGGATGTCCTGGAGTTCTACGATCTCCAGATGGCGCACCTCACCCCCAATGCGGTGATGACACTGGCCATCTTCGCGCACCTGTGCGAGATGTTCATTGGGGTGCGCCCCTCTCTTCAGCTGTTCCGGTGGTTCTTCACCGTGCAGTCGGTGTCGCCGCCGTCGGTGGTTGGCGGCTGCTACTTCCAGCCGCGGGGGCCGGTGCTGAACCGCTACATCCCCTGCGTCCTCCGCAAGAAGTGGGACGACTGGAAGAGCGACTGGTTCTACACCCCCCTCGCCGACGAAGCGCGCCTCCGCCTTCCAAGCCAGCCCCCGGCGCAGGTCTCCAGCTGGCGGGCGCCGGCAGATCTGGGGGAGGAGTACGACGCCGTCCTCGACCGTCTAGCGGGCCTGCGATCCCAGGGGCTCACCGGGGCCATGGTGTACGGCGATTACCTCCGTCGCCGGATTGCGCCGCTCCAACGGCGCGCCCGGAGCGCCTGGGAGTACACCGGGCCAGAAGATTACATGCGGACCCACCAGGGAGCCAGATGGGATTGGGCTCCCGAGGACTTCAAGATCGTGGTCCAAAGGGTGCTAAATCTTAGCTCCGCGGAGGCGTCTCGCCTTCCTCAGGAGATCCTCCCCCTCTGCACCGACCCCGACCGCGTCTCCATTCTCTCCATTATGTTGGGGGTCGGGGCCTCAGAGGAGAGAGCCCCTAAGGGCCACGACGGCGCGGGCGAGCGCCGCCGGGGGAAACAGTCTGCCCCAGGAGGGGGTCGTGCTTCTGGGCCTCGCGTCGGGGGCCCGGGGAGCAGCCGCCCTGCCGACGCCCAGGGGAAGAGGAAGCTGGGAGGAACGCCTCCCCCATCTCCTCCCCGAGGGGGCGGGGCGGCGCGTGCCAGCAATCGGCGCCCGGAGGGGGCCGCGCTGACGTCGCAACCCGAGGGGGAGCGCAAGAAGAAGCGGCTCCGCAAAATGGGGGAGACGGAACCAGCCCGGGGAAACCTAATTTCCCCCCCAAGGTGGTCATTCACCCGACCCCCTCGCAGGTTCGTCTCACTCTCATTGCATCCACCTTTCTCAAAAAAGAAGTTTTTTCTTGCTCACTTTGTTCGTCTTCTGGTTTTTTATTCTGCTTCAGCGATGTCCCATCGCACTCCTCCCGCCACCCCAAGTCTGGCCAGTCCGAGGCCGAAGATGCGGCGGCCGCAGAAGAGCGGAGGCGAGAAGCTGACCGGCGTGAAGCCGCAGCCCGCCTTCGGGAAGCTGAAGAGGCCGCCCGGGAGGCCGCCCGGGTTCGCCAAGCAGAGGAAGCTGCTCGGGAGGAGGCCGCCCGGGCCCGCCAAGCCGAAGAAGCTGCCCGGGAGGAGGCCGCCCGGGCTCGCCAGGCTGAGGCGGCAGCGTCACTTGGGCCCACTCCCTCGGGCGGCCCTCAGGCGACATCCTCCGAGGCGGCCCGCGACGAGGCCGCGGGCGCATCGCCTGGGCCTACCTCACCGGGCGACGCCCAGGACCAAACGGGCCCGGGGGACATCCCCGAGCCCAGCGCATCCTCCGGGGGGCCAAGCCGCGTCGCCTTTTCTCCAAGGCGGCTTTTCTCCTCCTCTTCCATCGCCCCGGTGAGCGCTGAGCCCATTATGCAGGCCTTGGCCGCCGCAAACACCGCGGTGCTAGATGGATTTAGCGCCCAGGTGGAGGCCTTGCGAGCGGAACGAGCGGAGCTCGAGGCCGCATGGGCGCGCGTCGAGGAGGGGCGGCGCTCGGTGGACGCCA